CACCACAGGCCCTTGACCCAGAATGCAGAGAACTGCACCATAAACCCAGCCATCCCCCATGAAGTGGGCTGGGATAAGAGGAAGATGCTCTCAGGGCTCCTGGGTGCCTATCTGAGCTCCAAGGACCCGTGTCTCCTTATCATCCTCCTGAGCCCATGCCAATCGTTACAAAACCCTAGCAGGGTGCTAACAAAAAGCACAACAGGATGAGCGTAATTCATTTCACCAGATTGAACATGTTGACATGGCAATTGTTTTGTTCTATGCGTTTTTATTTCCATTGAGAGAGAGATAGAGAGAGTCCTAACAGCGGCGATACCCTGCGTAGTTTAACATGTCTTCACATACCGATCCTGGGACACATCCTTGTCCCAGAAGCCCTGACAAAGACAGAGATCAGTTATCAAACCCATTTTACTGATGAGGAGACAGAGGCCCAGAGACTGGACAGCTCCAAGGAGCTGGTCCCTGGGGGCTGCCTGGTTTATGGAAGTGCTGCCCATACACATGGGTTTCCCTTTCCCAGGGCCAGGCCTGCACCTGCCTTGTGACCACAGCCTGTAGGAAGCCAAGGATACTGGCAAAGACCTGCCCTCTGAACCTGGGCTCACACCACAGGCTTCCCGGGTGTTGCTTACAGAGCATGCTTCAGGTTGGGGCTGGCTGCCTCTGCAGTCTGACCACCTTGCGTCGGGCAACCTGGCGTGACACATCTATTAGACTCAGGCATTTTCTGGTCAATTCTGGGGGTTCCCCACGTAGATAATCATATCATCTGGGGACAAAGGATTATTTCTGCCTCCTAATCTGCATCCATTTTCTTCCCTTTACTTGCTCTACTGCACTAACTAGGATTTCCAGGACAATCAATACTAAGAGTGCTGGGGCGAAAACCTTGGCCTTGATTTCATCTTACAAGAAAAATCTCTAGTTTCTCCCCATTAAGTACACTACTCTCACTGCCACCGATCCCAACTCATAGCAGCCCTATAAGACCGAGTGAAGCTGGCCCTGTGGGTTTCTGGGGCTGTAAATCGCTATGGGAACAGAAAACCTCCTCTTTCTCTTGTGGAGTAACTGGTGGGTTCCAACTGCCGACCTTCTGGTTGGCAGCTCAAAGTGGAATCCACCAGGGTTCCTCAAGTACGATATTAGCTGGAGGTTTTTTGTAGCTTTTCTTATCAAGCTGAGGCCTTCCCCTTGCAGGGTTGCGCATCAGGCTGCTTTTCTGCTCCTGGGCTGGGTAGTGGGCAATTCAAGCCAGAAGGTTCCCAGGAGCCACAAGGAAGAAGTAGAGATGCTTCCATGGCTTACCTGCATATGGGCCATCTCTGCTACTGTTCTGGAACCTCCAGAACAGCCAAGACTCTGGCTGCTCATGGCTCTAGCTTGAACACCCAGAGTAGTGTCCAGAGAAGAGTAATAAATAGCTGCACTCCTAATCTGGATCCGGGAAGCAGCAAAGTGGAATGGATTTTAGAGCCAGGGCACCTGATTTTGAGTTCTAAACTCACAGCCTATTGACTGTATGCCCTTGGGAAAGGCCCTCACTATTCTCAGTCTCAGTCAACTCTTCAGTAAATGGAAACACTAAATCCCTGCATCACAGGAGCAAAGGAGCTAAGGCGTGCAAGAGAGACACTCGACCATTCTTGCTTCCTGGGTGCACAAAGAACCGTGGAGCAGGATGGATTTGTTCCCAGTAGAAGAGGTCTGGAAATAATCTCCTTCAATACCAACCATAGCTGGTTGAATTTCCTCCCCCCCGCCCCCCCCCCAGGGTTTAGCACAAGTCTTGACACAGAGGCGGGTCTTGACAATATGGGGGAAGGTCATAGATACACACAGGCCCTTGGAGAACACAACCATGTCTCCTCCGACCCGAGGTCTCACAAAGAGTCCTGGCCTCAAACTTAAAGTCACTTTACTCAGGGTTTATGTATGTCTCTGAGAATCATGGGTACGAATCCTGAACCTGACCATCCAACATGGGAAGAGGTGGACTGACATTCTTTTGCAGGGTATTCCTAAGCTCATCAGTCTACGGAAGAGGGGCAGATGGAATGGGCCCAGTATTTCTGTAGTCACCCAAGTCTCCTCTCTCCCTTTTTCTAGATCGGCCCGCCTCCAGTATTTATAGGGGAGAAGCAGAAACCCAGGTGAGGTTCGTTTTGGTCATTCTGTGGGGACGAAGCACATTGCACTAAATATCACACAAATGGGGTGCCTAAGTATGGCGTCCCACTTTCTCCTCAGCGTCCTTCTGTCCTTATTGTCCGTATCTAAAAAGAGGTTGAATGATAATAATACTTCCCCTGATCACAGAATGATTGGGAAGCTCAGAATCCGAAGCACGATAACCCCTTGTGACTTGTTAAGTCATTTGTTCTTATCAAACATCGGAACACCAAAGATGGGCCAAGAGAACAGTGACCCCTTCCTTGTCCATCACACCCCCATTCAGTGTGGCATAATTGGCTCTGCACTTGTAGAAGACAGCAAAGTTAACGCTTCTTGATTTTTCTTTTCTTTTTTTAAAATCGTTTTATTAGGGGCTCATACAACACTTATCACAATCCATACATACATCAATTGTGCAAAGCACCTTCTTATATCACAAATGAAACTCCCTTGTATTTTTCCAGGTGATCTCCAAGTGTGTCTAATGAGTAGTAACCTTGAAAATGGGGGCAGATGGAGACTGAGACAGACATGGTGTTTGACATGTGACAAGCACACTGACTAATCACTCCTCCACAGGCTCCAGAGTACCCTCAATCAGCGGTGTCACAGTCGTGTTCAATCGTCCCACAGATAACGGGGGAGGACAGATCTCAGCCTCCAAGGGAAGGCTCTGTGGCCTTGCTTCCTGTGAGGACTCACTCCATCCTCCATCGACCGTCTGCCTTCTGGACCATGGGTAGGTGCCCAGTGCTGACAATACAAAGGTTCCCTTTCTCCAGGCCGCAAGAGTCACTAAACAATCATGCTCTGCAGGAACTACCAAATGCACCCACCGCGGTGATTTCTCACTGATGACTCCGGCTGCTGGATGTGGCTTCGGCACTTTGTGGTTTCCTAACATGCGTTGGAGGCAGTAAATGACGTCAGCATTGGCAGCAGGCTCCAAGTCCTGCCTTTCCCTGGCTCGGCTCAAACTGCTTAACTACTCTGAGCCTCAGTTTCCTGGAGATAACTCTAGTCTTTTCCTCATGTTGGGAACACTAGACCATACCAGAAAACCAGGGTTTGGCTTCAGATGAGGGTATCCAATGAACATCCACAGGTTCTTGGTTTATTTTTTTAACGTCATTTTTTTGATTAAAAAATGCACCCATCATACACACCTATTGTTAAATCACTTTTTGAAAGAGTTGGATATACATCATCATCATCATCATCATCATTCAGTTCTAGTGCTCTGTCCCAACTCAGGCATTCATTGTTTGCTCCTCCATTCCCCTCCCTCATCCCTCACACCCCTGTCCCCAGTAAACCCTTGTATAGGCTATTGTCTCTATATCATCCATTCCTTTTGTTTTTCAAAGCTGGGAACCTATTGTAACCAATGAAAAACAAAAACAAAATGCAGCAGAAAGAAGAAGGTAGCAATAATAGTATAGAGATAAAAAATAAGTAGTGAAAAAAAGACCACCAGCAATACTAAAAACAAACAAATAAAAAACAGAAGGAATTTCTGTCGTGGAACAAGCAAGAAATATTTAAGCCTAGATCAAGTTGAGGTTGGGTAAAGAGGGAGGTCGATTAGCCAAGCATCATATTATACCATAGTTTGATTCACCATAATCAAGTCTACATAAAAGAGAAACAGGGGCGAGGGTGGGATGGGGTGGGAGGGAGTAATTAGGATGGAAATTAGCGATAACCTTCTAGAAGATGCCTGACTGAAGGCTGGTAATTTGGAGGGCCAGGTTCTTGGGCATGGAAACATTCCATCTCAATGTAATTTCCGTGAAAACTGAGACTCCTGAAAGGAAAGTTTTGTAACCCCCTACAGAACACGGTGGCACATTCTCAATCACTTGTTTATAGTTGACAATGCAGGCGAAAAACAAGAGAAGCAAGTTTTCAATAATTCCCCCCCCATCCCAGACCCTTATACATATCCAAATCCTCAAAAAACCAGAAAGCTGATTTACAGAAAGTGAATTGCCCTTGGAATTAAAGAAGACAGGTCCTCTCGTTATGTGAAATGACATTACCTCAGAGTACAGGGATCCCAGTTCTATGAACAGGAAGGAAGCAGACCCATGGCTCTATAAGAGCCATTTCCTCTCTGCTTTATTAATTTGAGAGATTAGCAAGCCACTCCTCTGTGGGCCAAACACACCAAGATAACAGCTATTGTGTTTGGTATAACTCTTGCTAATCACGTCTTGGGAGATTGCAGGCATTCATTGTCAAACTCAAGCAACCAAAGGCTCTCAGGGACCCTGTGTCATCATCCTGGCCCCTTAAAACTAATATTGAAATCCCTCCCTATGAGTTGCAGAACCTAGCCTGAGTGGTTTCTGAGTTCCCAGGGAGGAAAGAAAATGTGTCAAATGAGTTTTTAAAAGGCACTGGGGTTAGAATTTTCAATGGGCATCCCTTGCTGTGGCCTACTCATGACTTCTTGCACTCGATCATACTAGGATGCTAATGCAACATGATGAGTGCCTGCCCTTGGGATCCTCCTGGTTTCTGTTAAGAGAAACAAGTAGAATATTCTTCCCTCTCATCATTCCCACCATGCTGAAGGAGTCTGGTGTAGAGATCACTGGATTGGAGATTCAGAGATCCTTCGGGGGTATTTCCTGCTCTCTCTGGGTCTCAGCTCATCTCCTAGGTTTTCTCGAGGTCAGACTTGCCTTCCTTAGACTTGGAGTTGGTTCTTTGCCACCATGTTTGCATAGAAAATTTTAATAACACATCTTATCCAGTTTAAGATTAGAAGCATTCGGCACCACCCTCCCTGTCCCCATAGCCCATTGTCTGACCTGTTCCTGGGGTTTTCTGGGCTCCTGACGATTTCCCACCATGGCGTAATGGGGAAGCGTGTTCTTGATTACAAGGCGATTTTTCCATTCCTCCATTGTTTGACCTGCAATTTTATTCTTGACTCTCCAAGGCACTTCCCAAACGACCTAGACACGGGGCTTGGGGAGACAAAAGTATACCATCTTGCAGATACGAAGATGAGACCATGGACCCTGTGAATCATAGCCTTTCACTCGGAGAACAGGTTTGTGTGGAGTCAGCCACACTCATTCTCCTGTCTCTCGTGCCACCATACATACCTCCCTCATCGTACCGTCCCCCACCCCCACTGATGAGGGGTTGGGGTGAAGGAGTGGCCCCTGGCCATGGTCAAGCCAAAACTCGCGTAAGAGCTGAGGGGGCTGGGAGGAGCAACAGCCTGATTGAACGCAGAGAACCCTGGGCTTAAGGCAGGTCATATGGATCCCAGGTCTGGCTTTGCTTTGGGGTGGTATGTAGAAGACCCAGGTTCTTCTGTTCTCTGTACCTTAGTGTCCACATCTGAAAACTATGATTGTTGGATCAGGTGATATCTTAGGCCCCTTTCTCTTCTACTAGCACAAGCCTGATGGACCACCAAAGGGCAACACCTATCTCCGACCCTGCTAGCTCTCAGCCAAGGGAGGTGACCAATAATTCACTGTTTGACAAGACCCTAGAGGGAAACAATCGCATGTTGGAGGAAGCTCATGAAACTCCAGTTAATGGTTTATAGGAAACCAGCTGAGAACAGCTACCCTACTCTATGACCTCTATGAGGGAGGAGCAGACATATAAACCCTTTTACATCATCTCGACAGGAAATAAGAGCTCCGCTAAGATGGTTCATACACCAGGACAGCTCTCCAGTGCATAAACCTCCTAACCAGTACAGACGTGGGCTCTAAAATGGCTATATCTAGAATGCGTCCTTTGGGAAAGACGGTTGAGAGTCCACACCCCTACCCCACACCCCTTCTCACTGAATACAAGTGAAATCCCTGGACATTATATATTAAAAAACCCTAACAAGACCCTGAAAGGTGGAGAGAAGACTGCAGATCAGTTAGGGACCTTAGGAAACGAGGAATACTGTGGTGGTGTGTTCTCTGGGGTTCTCAGTCTTGGAACTGAAGATGCCAGCAATGCCTAACTGACAATGGCACTGACAGACAAGGGTTCATCCAAAGCCTGTTCCTCCAGTCAAAGGATCAGAAAAGGGACAGCCAGTCTGGCAAGACAGAAAACTGTGTTGACACCAACCATTCTACTCCAACCAAAGATCACAGAAAGACTGCAGTCCTATTCTATTCCATCAGCAAAGGCTGGGTGGAGGGCTTAGCTTCCAACCCTACTTTATATTAATGCTGTGCCCTTCCCTCTGTCCCTGGGTCTGTATCAGAATGTGCCTACCATCGATTAAGGACTTTCCTCATATCTTGGCGGTAATAAGTCAAATCCCTTACGCAGCCAGGTCAGGGGAAGCCTCACTGGGAACAGTCATGAGGCACTTGTACTTCTCCTCATGAGGGTGTGATCAGCAGAGGCCTAGTGGGAAGCTCGAACTTTCACTCCCATCCAGCAATCATAAGGAGCCCACCCTCCCTTGTGCCAATGAAGGCTAAGCAGAGAACTTGAACTTCTATACCCACCTGTCAGGAATGAGGTGGTGCCCCACTTCCCTACTGGAGCGGTGTCAGAGGATCCTCTAAAACAGATTTAAATAAAATCCAGTTATATAGTATATATCATAATATAATATCCAACATGTTCACCTTTTAATTAAAAAATCAGTCACATCAAGAACGAGGAATATATCAAACAGAATGAAAAAAATAGTGACCAGATGCCAACAACAAGACAGAGATGTTAAAATGATTTGACATGGATTTAAAGCAGTAATCATAAAAATGCTTCAACTAGCAATTACAAACACCTTTGCAACAAATGAAAACCAGAGAAGGTCTCAGCAAAGAAAGAAAAGATATAAATGTAAGTTTGGGAAATGAAAAAGTACTATAACTGAAAAAAAAACCTCAGAGAAAATAATTACTAAAGTTAAAGATGCACAATAGAAATGACCCAATGTGTACAATAGAGAAAACGGGTTGGAAAAAAAGTGAGCAGCACCTTGGGGGCAATTAGGATGATAACAAGTGATATAACATTGGTGTCACCAGACTTCCAAGAGAGGAGAAAGGGGGAGGGATTGAAAAAAGGGTCCAAAGAAGTAATGGTTGCAAACTCCCGCAAACTTGGTAAAAGACACACATACACTTGCAATTTCAGGAAGCCGAGACAATTCCTGGTAGCATAAAACTAAAGACAGCTACATCAAGACACCTGTCAAAATTATCAAGTTGGTGAAGAGTGAAGATAAAATCTTGGATAAAGGGAGAGGAAGACAGGGAAGGAGAGGGAGAGGAGATGAAACTTTCCCTGTAAGGGGAAAGAAACTACTTGAATGGCAGTAGATTCCTGATCAGATATTATGGAGATCAGAAGGAAGTGGCACAATATATTGCAAGTGCTAAAAAAGAGCCCCTCAGAATCCAGAATCTGCAAACTCTGTATCCTACACCCAATGGACATCTGTTTCAGCTATTAAAGGGGCATTGACTTTTCAGATGAAAGCAAACTAATAGAATTTGTCAACAGTAGGCCTCGTTACAAGAACGGCTAAAGGAAGTTTTCTAAAACAGAACAGATGTAATAAAAAGCATCCTGGACATCGGCAAGTAGGGTAGAACAACAGCTAGAGCAAAAATATGAGTAAAAATAATAGACTTGTCTTCTCCTCTAGAGTTTTATAAATTATATTGGATTTTTGAAGCAATAATTATGACAGTGTCTGATGTAGCTCTAGATGTATGTAGAAGAAATATTGAACACAATTGTCTTATACGCAGGGGAGGGCAAAGCTTTGTAAAGAGAGGCAAGGTTTCTACACTTCATTTGACTGTGATAAGTTCGACACTTCACAGTAGGATAATTTATGTAGATAATATGCGATGCCCATAACAGTAAAATTCAACCAGAAAGAATGTGTAGACACCAGCATTTAAAAAATGCAATGCCATTTACAATGGCTCAAGAAAAAGAAAGACAGGTATAAATCAAACAAAGCATGTGATAGGAGCTGTTTGCTGAGAACCACACAATGATGATGAAGGAAACCACACAATGGATGGACTCATAGATTGGAAGTGTTCACAGATAGCAAGAGTCCTCACAGTAAAGATATTCATTCTCTCCAAGTCAAGTTACAGATTTAACATAATTTCGATCAAAGTCCCATCGGGATGTCTTTTGGAAACCCACAGGAAATGCGAAAACGAAATCCATTTTGTAAAAGAATGCAGCGGAAGGAATGAGTCTACCTGCTCTCAAGAGTTGTTCTATAACTGCGACAAACTAGGCTATGGGATATGGCTCAATGGAACAGAACAGGGAGCCCCCCAAATAGACCCACACAAGTAAGCCCGATGGGTTTTTGAAGAAAGTGCAAAATCAATTCAATGGACGAATGCTATCTTTTTCAGCAAACGCTTCTGGTGCAACTGAACATCTGCAGGTAAAATCAAAGAATCTTAACCCAAATCCACATGTTATATAAAAACAGTCCAAATAAATCATAGAATTAACTCTAAGACGATGATACTTGTGTGTGGGGGGGGGAACCCCATAGGCACACATCTATGGGATGGTTTTAGACCTGACACCAAAAGCATGATCTATAAGAGGAAAATTGACAAAGTAAACCTTATGAAAGTGAAAATCTTTTGCTCTGTGCAAGATCTCTCAAAGAGGATGGAAAGACAAGATGAAGGCTTTTGCAGAGAAAACAGTTGCAAAGCTCATATCTGACAAGAGACCAGTAGTGAGAATTAGATAAAGAGCACTGACAACGCAATAGTGAGAAAACCAACAATTCCAGAAGAAAAGGGCGGAAGACAGGAAAAGACATTTCACTGAAGAGTTTATGTAGGTAACAACTAAGCACATGCAAACATGTTTAATGTCATCAGCTATTAGCAAAATGCAAATTAAAACCACGATGCACAATTACTACATTATTTGTCACAATGGCTAAAATAATAAAAAAAGTGACACCACCAAATTCTAGCAAGGATACAAATAAATTGGATCACTCACACATTTCTGGTGAGAATATAAAATGTTACAGTCACTTGGAAATCAATTTGGGAGTTTCATATTAAAAGCAAGCAAACATGACTCAGCAATTTCACTCCTAGATATATAGACTCCAAATATTTGAAATCAGGGACGCAAACAAACATGTACACCAATGCTCACTGCAGCACTATTCACAATAGACAAGAGGTGGAAACCATCCAAGTGCCCATCAACAGATGAGTGGATAAACAAATGTGGTATCTCCATCCAATGAAGCATTACTCAGCCCGGAAGAGAAAGGAAGTTCTGATACATGACAAAGCATGGGTGAACCTTGAAAACATTTATGTTGACTGAAGGAAGGCAGCCGCCAAAGCTTAAATGTTATATGGGTCTACTTAGAAGAAATGTCTAGAATAGGTAAATGCATAGAGACTAAAGTTTATTAGTGGGTAACAGGGATGAGTTGGAGGGAATGGGGAGAAACTGCCTAAGAGGTACTGAGTTTCTGTTTGGGTTAATGAAAACCCTTTAGAAATGGATTGCACAATCTGGTGGATGCCATTAATGTCACTTAAAGAGAGTTAACATGGAAAATTAATCCCCACCCCCTCTGGATATACACAAAAAATAAACAAACTAAAGACACACATACCACTAAAGACATAAAATCCAATGATTTCACTCTTGGACATCTATTCCAGTAAAATGGAAATGGAAGTCCACACAAAACCCTGCGCCAATGGCAATTTCTTGGCTTTGATGTTGCGTTGCTGTTATGTCACATGTTGCCATGGGGACTGGTGAAGGATACGGAGGACCCGTGAGTATAGAATCCTTTCAGAACCAGTTTCAGAGTCCAGATACAGGGGGGGAATTGAGGCCTCTTATTGCTTCTGGGTACATTTCCAATTTTCATGCAATTTGCCAACCATTGTACCAACATTTTTATCTAAAAAAAAAAGATTCCCATCCAAATATTTCTTTATTTTTTTCAAGTCCCACTCCTACGGAATCAGCTATAAACTCATTCAAATACTCGTCTAGGGGCACTCTGTAGCCACATGGGGGCTGCTAACCACAAGATCAGTGGTTCAAACCGAACGGCTACTTTACAGGAGAAAGATCAAGTTCTGGGAAGCGCGGAGCAGTCCTGCTCTACTCCATAGGTTGCTTTTGAATCCGAATCAACTCGCTGTCAGCGGTAACGTGAGCAGAGGCGCTCCTCAAATGAGTGTGAAAGGAAGCTGCCTGCGCCACTGAGGCCCTCACTGACTCTCAGCCCAGGCGGCTCCAGCATCTTGTGGCTGTGTGGGGGAAGGAGACCCAGCTCTCATTTCAGGGCTGGCAATACAAAACCTGTGCACAGCAAACAAGCTGCCCATTCAGCTTCAATGAAAAAGGCCCCCAAAGCAAAAAAAGCGACTTTGCCTTCTCCAGACTGCTCTGCATTGATTTCGTGTCCTGCTCTTCAGTGGCGCGCAGCAGCCAACACAGAAGGCCCAGGTGGGGGGAGTATCCACTGTTTCCTGAACAAAGGCCTGATTCTTGCACACCCCTCCCACTACCCCCACCATTGCCACTGTCACCAAGGTGCTTGAGTCTTGGTTGGGCTGAGAACTGGGGAGCAGAGATGTCAGCGAGGGTGCACCCATGGAAATGGATTTGGTTTGGTCTAAGTCAAAATGTGTCTTAGGACCTCGACACACTGCCTTCTGGACAGGGTCTGCTTCCCTCCTTTCTTCTACAGCAGTGGTTCTCAACCTTCCTCATGCCGTGACCCTTTTATAGAGTTCCTCATGTGGTGACCCCCCAGCCATCAAATGATTTTCGTTGCCACTTCATCACTGTCATTTTGCTACTGTTCTGAATCGGGCCACCCCTGTGAAAGGGTTATTCGACCCCCGAAGGGGTCGTGACCCACAGGTTGAGAGCTGCTGCTTTAAGGGAATAGAAAGTCTCATCTTTCTCCCAAGAAGTGGGTAGTGGTTTCAAATTGCTGACCTTGAAGTTCGCAGCCCAACGCAAAATCAACTCCATGTGTAGACAAAACTGTGGTGGTGGGGCAGGAGAATGGAGTGGAAGCAATGAGAGGGAAACATCTCAAAGGAGAGTCACAGGGCACATTGACTGTCCTGGTCCCAGCAGAAGTGGAATTCAGCAGAGGCAAGGCAGGCAGGCCTAAACTGGAGAAGTCAAGGATTAAGAACGTAAGATTCCTAGACAATCAGGGAGCTGCGCCTGAGGCAAGAAGGCTAGCTTCTCAGTGATGAGTTGAGGGGCTCTGGGAAAGTCACCTAACCTTTAAGTCTGTTTTCTCATCTATAAAATGCTAAGTTGCCAACAGTAACATAACAGCTACTACCGGGTGCTTACCTTGAGCCAGGTAGTGGGCTGGGTGACTGACATGCAACATTACATTGCAAGAGGCAGTTGAAGTTTCCTGTACATGATCACCCTTTGCACGACTCCTTCCTTGACTTTGTCTCCCCCACCCCCCCAGACTGTAAGGAGTCCCTGAGTGGCTAGACCAATCAGCTGCTAACCAAAAGGTTAGTGCTTCAAGTCCAC